GGGTTGCTAGGTGGACAAGGAGCTTCTTCTCATCAGTGGATGCCAGGGTGGGCTATACCTGGCCTGACCTAGCTCACAGGTGGGTTACAAGTGCCCCAGGCGGCTCAGGGGGGTTTACGATGTGTTTTGGCTGTTTTCGGCCCTCGCCGGGCCCGGGGCCGTCAGAGAGCGGCTCGGCATGGAGAACCGGTCCCGGGGAAAGGGCCTCGGGACTTGCGGGGGCCCCTGGGGCCCGGCGAGGGCCCCCAGAGGCCGAACATGGCTTCCGTCGTGATTTTTCCATGGCCCGAGGGCCAGGCGGCGCCGGCGCGAGGAGTAGCAGGTACAGTGGAGACCCATGCCGAGAAGCACCCTGCTTGCCGCCACGGTGCCTCGGGGTTCTTGGGTTTCGATGGTTTTGCGACGGGAAGCGCGACGTTCCCACCCCCAAGCGAGGCTCGTGGTCTCCTGGGGTCACAGAGGTGGGTTTCTTGTGGAAGGTTTCCGATGTGCGTGCTGTCGGAGGGCACCAGCTATACACCAACACCGATCCTGGCCCAGGATCACCCTGGGCCCAGGATCGGTGCATATGCCTTCTTGCCCAAGGCAGGAGGGGCGTATACACCGATCCGTATGGGCCCAGGGTGATCCTGGCCAGGATCGGTGTTGGTGTATAGTTGGTGCCTTCCTACTGGGGTCACAGAGGTCGGTTTCTCGTGGAAGGTTTCCGATGTGCGTGCTGAGGCAGTGGCGGCGCCGCATGCCCGGGTCGGGCGTGGGCGAGGCCCGGCGGGGCCTCGGCTGCCGGCCTCGCGCCCCCGGGGGACAGACGGAGCACACGGGGGCGGCGGGGGCTGGGGCGGCGGCAGGAGCGTGCAGTTGGGCCTGTCCCTCTACGGGAGGAAAATCCAAAGGCAGTCAAAAAATTGTCAGGGAACGATTTTTTGAGCATTTTTTTTTGTTGTTGTTGTTGTTGTTGCCATTTTGGGGTATTTTTTGGCTATCTTTCATTTTTCGCCCACAATCCCCCGTGCAGGGGGACAGGCCCGACTTAACAGGTGCGGGGCGGGTGAGAGTGCGCTATCGAGTCCGAGTCTGAGGCTGTCGCGCCTGTGCCGCCGTTCTCGGGCTGGATTGGGAAAGGGGGGGGGTACGAAATTTGCTGCATGCGGCTGGTTTCGGCCCCGCCGCCGGGCCCATTCCTCGATATACGGGCGCCTCCCGGCGCCGGGAGGCGCCAGGAAAATCAGCTACGTGAGCTGATTCTCACCCCCCCCCTTTGCTATCCCCCCCTCTCGCCCGACCCGACATTCTCATGCTGAGCTCAGCGCGCTGGTGTGAACAGGCCGACGCCGCATCTCGGAAGGCGGCTTGCACTAGCGGCCTCAAGCATGAGCGATTGGTTGCAGGGTATCCTCGGCCACGCGCAGAGGAGGGATTCCTAGAAGCACTCCTGCTCCTTAGAAGGTGCTTGTCAGCATCAGGCGATCGCAAACATGGATCAATGGGGCGTGGATTAGCGATGGGCCCCGTTTCCTGGGGAACTCGCGGATTTCCGCCGCCGAAGGAGGCGGCACCGGCCGCATTTTGGGGAGGGCACCTCCCCAGATCCATGGACTTGACGACTGCGCGCCAAATCCATGGATCGCTCATTCATGTTTGCGCGCCCCCGACTGTGGATGTAGGGCCGGCGCCTTCTAAGAAGCGGCCTCCTTCTATGAAGCCTTCCCCCCTCCCCCTACCCCCTTGTGCGCGCCGCCAGCCCCTGCTGCAAGTGTCTCCTCGCCTTAAGTCGGGCCTGTCCCTCTACAGCGGGAATGTTCAAAAAACAGTTTAAAAATGTTTTGAATTTTTTTTGACCATTTTTGCGTATTGTTAAAGTATTTTTAATTTTTCGTCGAACTCCCCATGTAGGGGGACACGCCCGACTTAATCCTCGCCCGATCCGTCCGTCATCGCTGTCAGACTGGGAACAGAACGGGGCCCCGGCTCCCTCGTCGTCCGTCGGCTGTGCTGCCGAGGGCTCCCCTCTCTGCGCGCCGCCAACATCCAACTCGCCGACGGGGAGGGCTGGAGGAGGAGGAGGAGGAAGATAGGGAGGAGGAGGAGGAGGAGGCGGAGGAGGAGGAGGAGGAGGCGGAGGAGGAGGAGGAGGAGCAGGAGGAGGAGGAGGAGGAGGAGGAGCAGGAGGAGGAGGAGGAGGAGGAGGAGGGAGGAGGAGGAGGAGGAGGAGGAGGAGGAGGAGGAGGAGGAGGAGGAGGAGGAGCAGGGAGGAGCAGGGAGGAGGAGGAGGAGGGCTGGGAGCTGGCAGGAGCCGGCCGCCTCGGGCCCCCGCGCTCGCCTCGCGGCGTGCTCGGAGAGCAGGGCCGGCGCGGAGCAGCCCTCGCGCCCTGCGGACTGCGGAGCAGCGGCGTCGGGAACCGACGCCGGGGTCGACGCGACATATATATTTGGTGTCTGTCATCACCCTGACTCTCTGGTGAAGACAGTGAAAGAAGGCCGCCCGCTAGCGCAGGGAGCC